GCAAGGGGAGGTACTTCACACTGAAGTGTGAATGACTAATAGTCAAATCTTATATTTCCATAGAGGCTGCTTCTTAATCTAAAGGAATATTTTATTTTTTATAAGTTATTTTTCTTTAATTTTTTTAATGTTTATTTATTTTTGAGGGGAGGAGGGGCAGAGAGAGAAGGAGGCACAGAATCCAAGGCAGGTTCTAGGCTCTGAGCTGTCAGCACAGAGCCTGACATGGGGCTTGAACCCACAAACTGCGAGATTGTGACCTGAGCTGAAGTTGGATGCTAAACTGACTGAGCCACTCAGGTGCCCCTAAAGGAATATTTAAAAATTTTTTTAACATTTATTTATTTTTGAGACAGAGAGAGACAGAGCATGAACGGGGGAGGGTCAGAGAGAGAGGGAGACACAGAATCCGAAACAGGCTCCAGGCTCTGAGCTGTCAGCACAGAGCCCGAAGCAGGGCTCGCGCTCACATACCATGAGATCGTGACCTGAGCCGAAGTTGGACGCCCAACCGACTGAGCCACCCAGGCGCCCCGAAAGGAATATTTTAAAAAGCAGAGCTCCAGAGCACCTGGGTGACTCAGTCGGTTAAGCGGTTAAGCATCCAAGTTTTGATTTTGGCTCAGGTCATGATCTCAAGGTTCGTGACATCGAGCCCCCTATTGGGCTCTGTGCTGACAGTGGGGAGCCTGCCAGGGATTCTGTCTGTCTCCCCGCCTCTCTACCCTTCCCTCGCTCGCATTCTCTCTCAAAATAAATAAATAATTCTTGTTTTATAAAAAAAAAAAACTTGGATGATGCAGAGCTTCTAACATCATGAACTCAGAATTAAGTTCCCACTCATCCTTCAGGTCAGGGTGGTCCTGCTTTAAGATATCATAGGATAGGGGCACCTCGCTGGTTCAGTTGGTAAAAATGTGCAACTCTTGATCTCAGGGTCGTGAGTTCTAATCCCATGTTGGGTACAGAGATTACTTAAAAATAAAAATCTTAAGAAAAAAAAAAAAAGGATGGCATAGGGTAGAGGTTCAAGGATCCAGGTGGAGTACTAATCATTCACTCAATCATCATTTATCTATTCACTCCGCAGATGTGTACTGGGTATTGGCTGTTTGGCACCACATTAGGTGCTGTGGCAGTTGGAGGAATAAGAGGTGCCAGCTGGCCAGAGCCAGGATTTCCTCAAGGAGCTGTGGAATTTATTAGAGTATGGTGTGACCGATGCTGGAACCAAAGTAAATCCCTCTGCAGATAAGCATGCCCAGGGAAGGGAAGGCTTTGGAGAGAAAGTCACAGGTGAGCTGGGCTTGCATAGGTGAAAAAGGATCTCACCAGGTAGAGGAGGAAGCAGCACAGAGAAAGAAGGACAAGAGACCAAGGAGGAGCTGGGGGAATGGTGAAGCATCTTGTGCAGCTGTATCAGAGAGGGCATGGGAGGCTGGAGTATGTCTTAGTGTAGGGAACAGAGGGGGACATGGGGAATGACACAGGGACCTGGTACAAGTATTCTAGTCAGATTATCCCAGAAAGTGGAAGTGAGGGAGACAGACAAAAAGGAAAGCCAATAGAGAGCTCGTTATGGGTTGGTTACCATGGTGAACAACTGGGGCTCCTTCCTGTTGGCCCGCTGAGTACACCTCAGAAATGTCCTCCAAAGATGGGACCTGGGACTTCATTAAGCAGCTCACATTTCCGCACTGCACTGTGGGATGCCCCTGCGGATATTAACCTTCCCCTTAGAAGCTTCCTTCCTGGATGCCCTTGAGAGCTTTGTGACTTTGAAAACCAAAGCCCTGGGGCAGAAAAGTGGGAGAGTGGTAGCAGTGGGTGGCTTGAGGTGAGACCATGGCAGCCCTTGGGAAGGGCCCGCTGCAATCTGAAATGGGCCAAAGGGAGATGGCATGGGACACAAAAGGCATCTGCTCATAGGGTGACTCAGATTAAGGGACTGAATGGGTGCAGCAAGTGGGAGAAAAAATTCAGGAAATGGGAAAAGTAGGGTGGGGTCAGAGAGGATCCATTGTGAAGAGTCTTTTTGTGCCACATTACAAAGTTTACAGTTTATTTGCCAAACACTGGCACCTAATAGGTGCTCTATAGATATTTATCGAATAAATGAACGTTAATGACAGATGCACCCGGACCAAGCTTTAGAATCCAGCAGACTAGTGTGACTTTTTTTTTTTAATTTTTAAAGTTTATTTATTTTTAGCGAAAGAGAGAGGGCATGCAAGTGGGGGAGAGGCAGAGAGAGAAGGAGAGAGAGAGAGAGAAGGAATCCCTGGCAGGCTCAGCACTGTCAGCACAGAGCCCAACTCAGGGCTTAAACTCATGAAGCATGAGATCATGACCTGAGCTGAAGTCAGATGCTTAAGTGAGCCATACAGGTGCCTTAGCCATGTGACTTCTAACCTCTTTGATCTTCTATTTCTCTCTCTCTCTCTCTCTCTCTTTCTCTCTCTGAAGTAGCAACAATAATACCTTCTTTACAGGGTTGTTGTGAGGAATTAGATGAGATCAAAGATGTATGGCAACTAGAAGTATGGACTTAATAAATGTCAGCCACTCTACCCCTGCCCCCATGATGACCCCAAGCCAAGTAATAAACTGAACTACCCACCAGCTAGAGACAATGAAGGTTTCTCCTGGGATCTGTTTACAGAAGATATATGCTGGCATTTCCAGCTATATTGGTCCTCGTGGAAAAAATTAGTGGTATTAGTAACAACTTCCTTTGACCAAAAGGGAACCATATTGCTGTTTTAATTAAAGGACAGAGTTGAAACTATCCTCGTAGGGAATTTACAAACTCAGAAATTGATGCTTGTAGTAACTTACAGGATTTTTTTTTTCTTTGTACATTTAAATGTGTGTATCAAAACATCTTCCAATCAATATGCTGTTGACTGGACTCATCCATCCTTGCTGGGCTGCATTTCTCTACCATCCTGAAATTTTAACAGAGGCCAAGATGCTTGTGGACTCCGTTTTATGGAATAGCCCTGCACTGGCTGTCTGTAGGCATTGGGAGCTCCTCAGTCCTTCCCAGTGGACAAAAGAGATTGTGGCAGCCTCTGAGGAGGTCAGGGGAGAATATGAAGCAAAGGTGGGAGAGAGCAGCTTGAGGAACTAGGTGAAGGACTGAGAAATCACACAAACTGGGGAATACTCAATCAACATATTCTAAAACATATCTATTCCTTCAGTCTGGCACCAGACAAACACTATGATAAGTAATGCCACTGGCACACCAAATTTTTTTTAAAAGGGGGGGGGGGCGCCTGGGTGGCTCAGTTTGTTAAGCGTCCAGCTTCGGCTCAGGTCTATGAGTTCGAGCCCCGTGTGGGGCTCTGCTGACAGCTCAAAGCCTGGAGCCTGCTTCAGATTCTGTCTCCCTCTCTGTTCCTTCCCCACTCGCACTCAGTCTCTCTCTCTTTCTCTCAAAAATAAATAAATGTTAAATAAAAATTTTTTTAAAGAGAGAGAGAGAGAGAAAGAAGAAATAAAGGCTATTGGGAAAATGAGTAAACACGGAGTTTGTCAAGGAAGGAAATCCCGGAGTTGAGAAGCCTCTGTGGGAAGCACATTTGCTCCTAATCTGGAGTGATTCACAACTGGAGAAGCTGAGTAGGAACCACAAGGTGGAGACTCATTCATCTGTCTGTTCGTTCGTTTATTCATTTCTTTCATTCAATGATTATCAGTTATCTCTCTACCACATCCTGCAAGAAGCAGCAACAATACAAAAGTGGAAAAGGCACAAACCCTGCCCTTGAAGGCTCTAAAAGTAGGAGAAGCAAAAGATGTCACTAACAGTTATCATAAAGTGGAACAAGGGCAAAGATAAAGACATGTACTAGATGGACTGGTGACACAAGGAGGAGGGAGAGGGGCCAGAAAAGTCTTCTCAGAGGTGGAGATCCCTTGGCTGGGTCTTAAAGGCCATTGGAATCTCCCAGGCAGCAGAGAGTTGTGCCAAGTTGGAGGAAAAGTCACCCATAATAAGGGAGACACATCTTTGAGGTTAGCATGGAGTTGGTAAGTCTAAAGCATAGGAGGGAGGCAAGGACCATTTATGGGAGGACCTCCTGTGTCATGCAGAGTCTAGAGGCCATCCTGTAGGTAATGAGGGGCCACTGAAGGGTTTTGAGCAAAAGCATCACACTATCTCATTTGTGGCTAAGAACTATCTTCCTGGTGTCTTCCCAATAGCCAGCCTTGAGGGATGAGTTGAAAGGGATTGAAAAGTGGGAGTAGGATAGCCTGTTCAGACGGTTCAGGTGAGAGGAAAGTGGCAGGTGGCTACAGAGAAGGGGTTGCTGAGTTTAGCTCTAGTCCCCAAAGAGCTGTGTGGGCAGGAAGAATTTCCAGATGTCAAGTCTCTTAGAACATCAATTTCCTCATCCTTAAAATGAAGGAAATGTGAATCACCAATAAGGTCCTCTATTGCAGCAAGCACGAGACAGTTTATCAGGACCTCTCTCTGCAGAAAGTGGGTCCTCACCCAAGACCTAGAAAAGAGGAAGGGGGAGGGAGGCGGAGCTGGGAGCCCCCAATCCACCCCGCGTGAGTGCCAGCCTAGGCAACTGTCCCCAGGTCCCCCTTTCCTTCTCTAGGGGAATTGCGTGAGGCCAGAGAGAAGAAGTGGAGGGGCGCCTGGGTGGCTTCCTCAGTTAAGTAACTGACTCCTGGTTTAGACTCAGGTCATGATCTCATGGTTTTTGAGTTCCAGCCCCAAATCACGTTCAGTGCTGGCAACTCGGAGCCTGCTTGGGATTCTGTCCCCCCCCCCTCTGTCCCTCCCCCGCTCTCTTTCGCCCCCTCTCTCTCTCAAAAAGAAAAGAAGCCATGGAATGGGGGGGCCTTCTTAGATGCCCAAGTGTCTAAGGCTCCCGCTGCCATGGCTTGATTCAGTCAGCCGGGAGTACTCTCAGCTTTGAAGTCACAGGGGCCTCTAGCAGAGCCACTTGGAGCTGTCACCCTTGCCTATTCCTCCCCAGGAAAAGCTCTAGTGAGCAGTGGAGAGAACGCTTTAAAGGGACTCGCCAAAGAACAAAGTTCACTCCCCCGTTTTGGATTAAACAGCGCTGTGATCTTGGACACGTTAGTGCAGGGCGCTCAGTAACTCCCAGGTAAGGATAACTCCCCCGGTCGGCAGACCGCTCCTTTGACACCTGCCCTCGTCGCCGCGCCACATCGCCTTCCCCCCACCTTTGCCTTCCCGGTCCAAGGCGCGGCGCTGACTCTGGCCAGGAGAGGCTGCGGAGAGCCTGGCGGCGGG